CATTGTCAACTTTATTAAGGAGGACTGCTTTGTGCCCACAACCCATGTGAAATAATAAAAAGAAATACAAAAAGGCACATTAGGAACATATTCAAATAAAGAATGAAATAATTTCAACAAAAAGTACGTACTGAGTTCTTATTCCACATTTTGATAATTCGAGAGTCTGCAGACAAAATCAAATCTAGTGAATCCTGGAAATGAACTGACTTAATGGGCAGCCCATACTGGTGATCCTTAACTAGCAATGGCTTATCAGATCGAAGATCATATAATAAAACCTAAAAGAAAAAAACAAGTTATTGGCAAACACTTTATCTTTAAAAAAGAACATTTAAAATTTAGAATAATGGTGGCCATTTGCTTCATTGCTTCTTTATGAACACAATGAATACCCTCACTCAGGGTGCTAAGATTCTAAAGCCAGACATACTCTAGAAAAATCTCTTAAATTGCCCTTAGAGTATAAATTTTTATGAATTCAACCTAAGAGTAATTGCTGTTACCCTGGGTAGAGTGCTGTGGCATCACAGCTCACAGCAACCTCCAATTCCTGGGCTCAAGCGATTCTCTTGCCTCAACCTCCCAAGTAACTAGGACTACATGGTGCCCACCACAATGCCTGGCTTTTTTGGTTGTACCGTGTTTCCCCCAAAATAAGACACTGTCTTATATTTATTTTTTCTCAAGAAGACACACTAGGGCTTATTTTCAGGGGATGTCTTATTTTTATTAAGTATAATACAACAATCTACATTTATTCAAATACAGTTAAATCATCTCCTTCTGGAACATCATCATAACTCTCCAGACCCGGAATTCCATCCTGAATTTCTTGAGACTTCATTTCGTTTAGAACCATTGGCCCCAATCTTTCATGTCAAGCAACAGAGTTCTCATTAAATGAGCAGCTCTTATCCATGTAACCTGCTTGGAGTGCACTGGTAAGAACACTGTCAGTGATTTTATTCCATGAATTCTTCACCCAAATCACAACCTCTTGCAGGCTAGGCTTCACAAAGTTTCCGCGCTGATTTCTTGTCATTCTATTTTCAATGTAGTCGTTAATTTCCATGCGCAAATGGTCTTTGAATGGCTTGTTTACTGCAATATCAAGAGTCTGCAGACAGGCAGTCATTCCTGTGGGAATCATTATTTGATCTATTTTTCTCTCTGCAAGGAAGTTCTTCATGTCTTTAGCAGGGTGAGTGCTGGCTGAATCCCAGACTAGCAGACCTCTTTGGTCACCTCGCAAAACAAGTGGCAGCATTAAATCAAGCCACTTCCTTATAACTGTTTGTGTGCACCAGGCTTTTTCTGTTTCAAGAACATAAATGCTGGAAATGTGTTCAACCTTATCTTTCTTGCCCTTAGTGACGATAAGAGGTGTAGCTTTCTTTCCATCTAGATGAATGGCCAAAATACAGGTAACATGTGAACTTCTGTGACCAGTGGAGGGAATGTAGATTGAGGAGGCACCCCTCTGTTCAATTGTTGTTTGGGCTCCTTGACCCATTAACACTGCAGTTTCCTCCATAGCAATCATGCTGCAAGGTTGGTATTTAGAAAAGTCGATGCCATCAACAAAGGACTTGAATGCAAGTGCTCGCTTAATAACTTCTGCATCTTCCAACTTAGACAGTGTTGTTGATTTTCTTAGAGACAGTTCATATCGCTGAAGGAAGCCATCCCGCCAGTGTTGTGATGTTTTGAATTCTGGGGATATTTCAAACTGTGGGGCCTTTACAAGGGCAAATGCTTAAATGTCAGCCCTGTGCACAACCAAAGCCTTTGCTCTCCCGTCAGCAATCCATTCACAGATTATGTTTTCCAGCTCAGGAAATAAAGGTTGCCAACCTGAACCACACTTGAGCTTCTTAGGATTTCCTCTGTCCACATGTAGACTGAGGTTCTCATATTCTGCCCGCCATTTTCAGACCATTTGGATATCCAACTTCTTCTCTTTGCAGAAAGCCGTAAGATTCTTGCCCTGGGAGTCCTCAACAATTCTTTTCTTGTACTCAAAAGAATAGCTCTTTCTTTTTGCACTCATCTTGTCTGGGGGTACAGATACTCAGGAAAAGCAGAGATAGGCCAGCAAAGCTGATGTGTAAGGGCTGAATTATTCACCGTATTTGGGATCCAGCGAGCACTGGGTCCAATCTGCACAGTGGAGCTGGGATGATCTCTCTGGGCTCAGTAGCAGGCTGCTTGCTGAAGCTTTTCCACTATCCCCTGGTGTTTGGGGGGAGGGGGAGGGGGAGGGTGAGAGGCCCACAGACTGTTGCTGGTGGGTGCTGGGGAGCAGCAGCTTTACTGGTGTCTCTGTGGGGTGAGAGAGGCTCACAGACTTGCTGGACTGGTGCTGAGTAAAACAGCAGCTACAGCTTTCCTTCTTCCCCCTGGGGACACACAATATGGTAAAAAAGCGGAGTGTCCTGCTCCTCATTTCACTAAGGAGACTTTCACTGAGGCGACCTCCAGTCTCTATGTCTCCATCTCCACCTGAAGCCTCAGTGTGCACAGGATGGCCGGAACCTGACAGGGGAGCTGACGTTGGTGGTGGGGCTGGCGCTAGTGATGCGTGAACTCCTTTTCCCCTAGCTTTCACACATGCGCAATAGGATGCCTGGCACAGCCATTACCATAAGCACACCTGCACATGCATGAACGGCTAGGAGAAAGGAGTGATGTGGTTGCCGCTCGTGCACCTGTGCAAGTGCAAATGGCTCGGAGAAAGGAACTATGGCAGATAAAAGGTATTCCAGTCTTCCTTACTGCTCTGTGCTCATCACTAGGTCTTATTATTGGGGTAGGGCTTGTATTCAACAAATGCATGGAAATCCTGCTAGGGCGTTATTTTTTGGGTAGGTCTTATTTTTGGGGAAACACGGTAGCTGTCATTGTTGTTTGGCAGGCCGGGCTGGATTCAAACCCGTCAGCTCCGGTGTACGGGGCTGATGCCTTAGCCACTTAAGCTATAGGCGCAGAGCCCTAAGAGTAATTTTTCAGCACACTAAGTCTGAGAACTTCTGAGCTATACTAAGAAAAGAACAAAAGGAAAGCCCCTGAGAATTTGTTTCATTTGTGACTTCCGAGGGTGTCCTATACAGCAGGCACTATCCACAGCAGCGAATGAAAGGCACAATGAAGAACAGTGCTGGTAGGTTCCGGACAAAATGTGGCAGCAAGGCTGTGATACCTCAGGAGAAGAGAGAATCTCCTCGGCTCCTGTCACTGGTGACAGATGTAGTAAATGACAACAGAGGCAGAGTTTTAGACGTCTTGCAGGGGTGGGACTAACCAAGAAGTGTGTGGGCTCTGCCTTGAAGGAAAGGAGGGAAGGAAGAAGTACTCCTAGGACAGCAATGCTACGGTACATTCTGCCTGGGGTGTGAGTAATGGTGGTATGTCAAAAAAGGCTCCTCATGACCAGGTGCAGTGGCTCACGCCTGTAATCCCAGTACTCTGGGAGGCTGAGGAAGGTGGATTACCTGACCTCATGTGTCTGAGACCAGCCTGGGCCAATACCCCACCTCTAAAAATAGCCTGGCATTGAGGCAGACAGCTATAGTCCTAGTTATTCCGGAGGCTGAGGCAAGAAAATCACTTCAGCCCACGTCTGTAATCCCAGTACTTTGGGAGGCTGAGGAAGGTGGATTGCCTGAGCTCATGGGTCTGAGACCAGCCTGGGTAAGACCCCACCTCTAAAAATAGCCTGGCATTGTGGCAGACAGCTATAGTCCTAGTTATTCAGGAGGCTGAGGCAAGAAAATCACTTCAGCCCACGAGACTGAGGTTGCTGTGAGCTAAGATGCCATGGCGCTCTACCAAAGGCAACAAAGTGAGACTCTGTCTCAAGAAAAAAAAATGCTCCTCAAATACATAAATTTTGAAAATGAACACATTTCTTGTCCACAGGAATTCCTCAGAGCCTTCAACATGCACTGAAACCCACTGTGAATCTCCAAGAGTAGGAGTCTGGCAGAATTCTGTTTCATACACAAGAAAAACATTCCAAACCACTCTTGACAGCCCACTTGAAGCCTACCCTCACTGTAGCTTCAGCTCCAAAGCACTTCAGACCAAGACTAAGGCAAGAGTCAGATTTATCAAGGTGCTAGAAGAATCCAGCACTCTGGAGTCCCCTCTCCACTCTAACCCAAACCATAATGCCTCACTTTCTGTTTTGTGTGTTTGGTTGGAGACAGAGTTTCACTTCGTTGCCCTGGGTGAGTACCTTGGCATCATAGTTCATCACAATTTCAAACTCTTGGGCTCAAGCTATTCTCTTGCCTCAGCCTCCCAAGTAGCTGGGACTACAGGTGCCCACCACAATGCTTGGCTATTTCTAGAGATGGGGTCTCACTCTAGCTCTGGCTGGTCTCCAACCCATGAGCTCAGACAACCCATCCACCTTGGCCTCCCAGAGTGCTGGGATTATAGGCTTGAGCCACTGTGCCCGGCCTTCACTTTCTGTTTTCTCCGTATGGTTCTCACAACACATAAATGCCTCTGAAATGGCAACTTACACATGAAGTTTCCAAGTTAACCATACTTACCTGCCCTGTAGATGTTCCAACTGCCATGGTCAAGGCACCATTAAATTTCAAAGCAGAGATTGTTGGTAAACTGTTTATCCTGGAAAGTAAAATATTCATGTTCCATGAATATATGACCAAACCCCTTTCAAGTAACGAGTTCATTACTAATAGCCACTTCAAATCTAATGGGAGAAATCTGATTTCTCGACATCTGTTTAAAAGGTAATTATATCCAAACTTTCATTATCAAAACTTTAAAATATGCTTTATACATGTATCTAAATGTAGTCTACCTTTATCTTCCATGTCAATTAAGCCAGGATAAGGAATGGGTATACTTATTTCCATTTTTTTCCATTACCAGCTAAAATAAAAGATAAATCTCCAAAAAAGGACCCTAGAATCTCTCAAAGTATCAAAGGCACAACAAATGCTATGGCCATGACATTAGAATATGCTCCTCACCCACCAGCCAAGAGCATCAGCACCAAGAGCAAAGGTCTCCAAAGGAAGGAGCACTGAAGCTCAGCCCAGATGGCCTACAGTCCGGCTATTGGCATCATCAGGTCTCTTCTGCCCCCTAAAGCCTCAACCTGTAACTACACTTAAGATCCATTCTAAACCTTAAGACCTCATATCCACATCACTTTTAGTCATTTAATCTTCAAAATGAACTTTAGGATCATTTTTTAGTATGGTGACATACTTTTTCCATTTATTAAGACTTTGTTTCTTAATAAAATTATCATTTTCTTCATATAGGTAACTATTAAGTTTATCCCTCAGTATTTTATAATTTTTGTTATTATAAATGAAACTTTTTTTATTGTATCTAACTGGATATTGCTAATAAATATAAAAGCCACTGACTTTTACACCTTTGGTGACCCATTTATTTAACTCTCGCATTAATTCTCACAGGTTTACAGTTGATTCTGCTGAGTTTCTCAGGCAATCATTTGTCATCTGCAAATGACAGCTTGCTTGCCCTACAAATAGGTACGTTACACTATTTCACTTTCATATTACATCGGCCCCAACTTCCAGAATAGTGGTTCTCAATCTATGGGTCGCAACCCCTTTGGGGGTCAAATGACCCTTTCACAGAGGTCGCCTAAGACCATCCTGCATATCAGATATTTACATTACAATTCATAACAGTAGCAAAACTACAGTTATGAAATAGTAATGAACACAATTTTATGCTTGGGGGTCACCACAACATGAGGAACTGTATTAAAGGGTCACAGCATTAGGAAGGTTGAGAACCACTGTTCCAGAACTTTGTCAAATAACAGAAATGACAACTTATAAGACTGTTAGAGGGGTGGCTCCTATGGCTCACTGGGTAGGGCGCTGGTCCCATATACCGAGGGTGGTAGGTTCAAACCCGGCCCCAGTCAAACTGCAACAAAAAAATAGCGGGTGTTGTAGCAGGTACCTGTAGTCCCAGCTACTTGGGAGGCTGAGGCAAAAGAATCACCTAAGCCCAAGAGCTGGAGGTTGCTGTGACCTGTCTGTCTAAAAAAAAAAAAAGACTGTTAGAGGAAAAAAAAGAAAAGAAAGCTGAACATAAAAAGTAACAAGTAAAATCACCTGAAACGAAATTAGTAAGAAAAAACTACATTTAACAGTCTGGTATGTATTCTTACTTTTTCCTACAACTATGCTTACATGTTTATTGTTTTTCTTACTAAAATGTGATAAAACTTTATAGGGAACTGTATGATTTGCTATTCCACTCAAAGGCATATTTGCAGAGGGGATGAAGTGGTGGTAGTGGTGGTAGTGGGCAGAAGACATATTTGGGATAGCCTTCCCTGGTAATAAATATGCTTCTGCAATATAATTCTTAAAGGCTAAATAGTATGTATGCCATTAATGGACAGGGTTTTATCTGTAAAATATAAGGCCAAACAATTAAGTTTGTGAACTCATCCCAGAAAAAAGTGCTACATACCTCACTGCTTATTATCACTACAGTCACCTTCAAAGTGCTTCCCTTAGGAAGCTACATACCAATGCCAGCACCTACTCTACCCTTCAAAACACTTTTTCTATAACAAATTCATAAACTTAATTGTCAGATTTTTGTACAATGACAGCTCTGACGGCCAGTCCTTAAAAAAAGAGTTCCAAAATTCCTCTAAAGGGAATTGGAATTCCTCTAATAGGCATTGGAGTCGGCCTTCCTGAACTTAATTGTCCAACCTTGTATAATACAATAGCAACACCTATAGTAAAGGGTTGTTGCATTAAATAAATTAATATACATAAAGAACTAAGAATAGTGCCTGGCCAATAGAAAGTACTCTCTGTCAGCTACTATATCTACTAAGCTTAATTAAACAGTATCTGCAGGCTCTAACACTTTAATATTATTATTGTTTTTTAGAGATAGGGGTCTTGTTATGTTGCCTAGGCTGTTCTTGAACTCATGGCCTCAAGGGATCCTCCCATCTCAGCCTCCTGGGTAGCTGGGATTATAGGTGCAAGCCGCCACATCCAGGCCACTTTAATATTGTTATTTTTTAATTTCTTTTTTTTTTAAACTACCCATCATGTCTGTAGGTATGTATTTATTTTAGAAACAAGGTCCTACTCTGTCCAAAATGTAGTGGCATGATCATAGCCCACTGCAACCTCGAGCTCCTGAGTCAAGCAATCCTCTAGCTTCAGTCTCCAAACAGCAGGGACTAGAGTTGTGAGCTGTCACACCCTGCCTTGACTTTTACGTTATTAACCATGCTGCAATGGATGGCTGGGCTGAGGAGAGCAAGGATGTGCACGCTAAGTCTGCGGGGAGACATTTAAATTCATACTATGTTTTCTGCACGGCAATTTAGCAACATACCAAAAACCTTAAAATCATGTATGCTGTTTAACCCAGAAATTCAGGTGCTAAAATGTTTTTCTCAGGATATAATCATAAAATTATAAATGGATGTCTAATAGTGAAAAGTACAACTCCTCTGTGCACTGATAGGGACCTGGTTAAATTATACTTTCTTTTTATATACAGAGGACATGTTTACTCTTTTTTATATTTCTAACACTGTTCAGCATATTTCCTTTTTTTCTTTTTTAAGAGACAGAGTCTCATTTTGTCACCCTTGGTAGAGTGCCGTGACATCACAGCTCACAGCAACCTCCACCTCTTAGGCTTAGGTGATTCTCTTGCCTCAGCCTCCCAAGTAGCTGGGACTATAGGTGCCCACCACAATGCCCCGCTAAAAAATCTAAAAAATATGGAATGATTCACAAATTTGCGTGTCATCTTTGTGCAGGAGTCATGCTAATCTTCTCTGTATTGTTCCAATTTTAGTACATGTGCTGCCGAAATAAGCACTGCTTAGCATCTTTTTTATACTAAGTATTAAATCATCATTTCAAAATAATAAAGTTATAGGGCAGCACCTGTGGCTCAGTGAGTAGAATGCCAGCCCCTTATACCGAGGGTGGCAGGTTCAAACCCGGCCCCAGCCAACCTGCAACAAAAAATAGCTGGGCACTGTGGTGGGTGCCTATAGTCCCAGCTACTCAGGAGGCTGAGGCAAGAGAATCACTTAAGCCCAAGAGCTGGAGGTTGCTGTGAGCTGTGATGCCACAGCACTCTACCCAGGGCAACAAAGTGAGACTCTGTCTCCAATAATAACAAAGTTATTTTTAAAAAAATTAAAATAATCATGAGAGCTGAAAAGTGCCCCACCTCTATGGACAAAAGAGCCACTAAAAAATGTTTGTGAACCAATATCCTATTTTTAATAAATAAATAGAATAAAAGTCCAAGTTTCTAAAGACCACAATTCAAATTATTTTTTCACATTTCTTCCCTAAATTTGCTACAATGTTACTTCTAGCACAGTAACTAAATTTAAAGTAGAAATAGCCTTAAGATACATCGCAAATGACTCCTACCAGCACGCTCTCTCCAATGACTCTACTAAGATGAGAAAATGGCAGACCTTATGCCAGACCCATGTCCATTTTAATTTAAAGACATGTTAAAGAGTGAAAAAAGCCTCTGTGCTTCCTAGGGAGTGGATAACTATCTTCTACTTACAACTGATTTCTTACTTTCTACAATAAAAATAAACAGGTTTCTGATTTGTTTTCTTTCATGTCATTATGAAACTGATATGCCTTTTCCATTGGATTACTCTGTTAGCAAATGTAGAACAAGCAAATTTTCCAATTTAAAATTGTTTAATATACTACCACGACTAATAAAATTGATTGTTAGCATTACTTTAATAAAACTGTTTAATATACTACCATGACTAATAAAGTTGTTTGTTAGCATTACTTTAATAAAATTGTTTAATATACTACCATGACTAATAAAGTTGTTTGTTAGCATTACTTTGATAAAATTCAGTAAGAGGCCAGGCACAATGGCTCATACCCAGAATCCCAGCACTTTGGGAGGCCAGGGCAGGAGGATTGCTTTAGCCTAAGAGTTTAAGATCAGCCTAAACAACTTAGCCAGACCCTGTTTTTACAAAAAAGAATTTAAAAAATTAGCCAGGAGTAGTGGCACATTCCTGTAGTCCTACCTACTTAGGAGGCTGAGCCAGGAGGATTGCTGAAGCCCTGGAGTTTGAAGTTACAGTGAGCTATAATCACACCATCGTACTCTAGCTGGGTGACAGAGCAAGACCTTGTCTCCAAAAAGAAAAAAAAGAAATACTTGGGTAAAAATCAGGAAAAAAATTGGTCCTCTCTTAACTTCAAATGTCATGATTAAAAAATGAAAAAAAGCATATTTATTCTTTACTTACACAGAGAGAAATGTATATTTATTAGACGAAGACATCTTTCTAATTTAAGTGATTGTTAATGTTTTTTCTAGGTCAAGGATGCTTCACATAAACTGTTTTTTAAAAGATAGAACTATGAATTCCTCCCTCCCCCAGAAAAATACAAGCCACATAAAATTGTGCGATAATTCATCAAAGAAGGTTTACAGTTCCTCTGTTAACCATTAAACATCCCATCTCGTCTATGATATGACAATGACCAACTGCAATGAATACGTATGTACCAATAAAATCACAGTACTATGAATGTCAAGAGCCCACAGGAAAGACATTCCAGAACTGATTGCAACACACAATTGCATGGCAAGGACTTGACTAAAGGAGTGATATGCTGTGTACGTGTCAGCACAAGTACAGAAAAATATCTGAAGGACGCGCACCAAACTGTGAAATCATAACCACGCTGGTGACGAGGAAGAGACGGGGGACTTTAATTTCTCAATTCAAGCCTCTATTTTGTCTTAGAGGTTTTCATATTTCCACTATGTATTATTCTTCTAATTGTTTTAAATGTAAGAATTAAAAACAAGATTAAGAAAAAGAAAACAAGAATAAGAAAAGAATAACAATAAGAAACAAGAATAAGAAAAGATCAAAAACACTTGTTTCAGTCCACCTTACAAATTCAAGACACACTCTTCTGCCTGTTAACTGGAGTGGTGGACTCCTAGTTCTACCACTAGATCCTACAAAACTGGAATGTAAATTCCTGCAGTACAGTTGTCTCACCAATATCCCATTCTAGGTGAAGAAATAAGGCATTCTGTACAGTACTTTAGAAAAAATTCTACCTGGCTTACCAACTAGTGAACTTCTACAGATTTTTCTGTAAAATAATCACAGAAAGTACAACTTCAGATATAAATCTGGGTTTCATCTTTATTTTAACTGAGTAGTGATAGATACAGTCACTTAAATTAAAGGTTGACAAACTTAGCCAAGTGTGGTGGCACACTTCTACAGTCCCAGATAACTTGGGTGCCTAAGGCAGGAGGACTGCTTGGGCCCAGGAGTTTGGAGGTTGCAGTGAGTTATGATGGCGCCACAGCATTCCAGCCCAGGAGACAGAGCGAGACACCTCTCTCCCCAAAAACTAGATGAACAGGGGCAGCACCTATAGCTCAAAGGAGTAGGGCGCTGGCCCCATATACCAGAAGTGGCGGGTTCAAACCTAGCCCCAGAAAAAAAAATGCTTTAAAAAATAGATGAACAATATCTACTTACTCTGAATCTGCTGTGACACTACTCAATGCGCAGTCTAACAGGCCAACTCTACTACGAGTTCTTGGATCCCAGCACTCTACTCGACCCTACACAAATGAAGAATAATTATAAATAAAAGCTGCTACTAGAAATTTTTATTTTTATTTATTTATTTTTTGGAGGCAGAATCTCACTTTGTTGCCCTTGCTAGAGTGCCGTGATGTCACAGCTCACAGCAACCTCAAATTCTTGGGCTCAAGCAATTCTCTTGCCTCAGTCTCCCAAGTAACTGGGACTATAGACACCCACCACAATGCCAGGCTATTTTTAGAGACAGGGTCTTGCTCTGCCTCAGGCTGGTCTCAAACCCCTCAGCTCATGCAAACCACCTGCCTCGGCCTCCCAGAGTACTAGGTTTACTGGCATAATCTTCCCAACTAGCTCCCAAGGTCAGTGTGAATGGACGCCAGCTCTGATGTACAGTGGGCAGTGCAGGAGTGGGATGGTCAGTGCTTTGTGTGGACAGATAAATGTTCCAAACAAAAAGTAAACCAGACTATCGCTTCATTATCATCCTGCTCTAAGGAATCAAGCAAGCATATCTCAAAATAGAAACTCCTTTATCAAATGTAAAACAAATAATCTTTTAAAAAGTCAGTGTATGCATACCTCTACTGTTCCTGTGGCAAACAAACCATGGACTGAATTTATGTCACAAACGTTATTCTCCCTGGTATAGCAAAGCAATAAGGGAGAAAGTATTAGTTAGCATCTACTTCAGGAATGGGATATTAAATAAACTGTCTAAGTAAACTGTCAACCCAAATTCTCTGGAAAAAGAAGACAAACAGATACTCTCTCACCATATTGCAAATGAAAAACACCAAGGGCTAATTTAAGCATGTGGCTCACAGTCCCCGGAGTTTCTGCTCCCCAGGGTGACACTCTACCTGCTAAGTGACAAACCAGGAAGGACTTCCTTCTAAAATACTACTCCACCACCATGAGAAGAAAGGAACAGTGTATTTTTTCAATACGTTGTCTTCCAAAGTAAGGAAACATTCTTTAAAGGAACGCAGGCCATAGTTATGGCCATCTTGAGATGTGGTAAGTTTGAGCTGAATAGCTGAAGTAAGTCTCATCTTCTTTTTCTATAAAAGAATATTTCACCTACCTCGTGGAGCTGTTGTGAGGATTAAATGAACAAGACTGCAAATGTTTAACAGTGTCTAGCAGACTTTTAGCAGTGTCTAGCAAACTTTTCTCTTTTCTGCTACACATTAGAATACTGAGAGTTGTGTTGGGCCATCCATTAAAACTCCAACACTACCAAAAGCTGACAAACAAAAGGAAATGTTCACGCATACTTTCATGATACCCAGTACTACAGACAAGTATTACAGATAAGCAACAGTCCTTGAATGATCTGCATGAGGCCTGCAGGCAGCAGGCTGGACACCCCTAGAGAATACAGAAGATGCTCAATAAATAATAGCTGTTACTATAAACAGAAAATTATGCAGCTAACTTTTTATTATTCAATAATGTATGTGAAGATACTGTAAGTTTTCTAGAGTTCTGCTTAAATGCAATATAAATACATAACAAATTGAGGATCTGGCTCCATCTCCTGGTCAAAATAAATACAGCAATACTCACGCAGCATCAGTTTGTAGAGGATTCAGGTATCGTCCTTGTTCCAAATTCAACCTATAAACTTCAGAACTGAAAAGTAATAAAGAAAATTAAAATTTTGGTAAACTGTCCAGGTAAGATTGCTCATGCCTCTATAATCTGTAATCCTAGCACTCTGGGAAGCCAAGGTGGGAGGATGGTTTGAGGTCAGAAACTTCAGAGCAGCCTGGACAGTGAGACCTATCTCTACTAAAAATATAAAAAAGTAGCTGGGCTCTGTGGTGTATGCCTTTAGTCCCACCAATTCAGGAAGCTGAGGCAGGAGGATCATTTGAGCCCAGGAGTTGGAGGTTGCAGTGAGCTAGGCTGACGCCACCATAGCATGCTAGCCTGGGCAACAGAGTAAGACTCTTTGTCTCAAAAAAGAAAAAGAAAGAAAGAAAAAAAAATCTGTTATATTATGGCTCAGCGCCCATAGCAGTGCTTACAACACTAGCCACATGCACCGAGGTTGGCAGATTCAAACCCAGCCCGGGCCAGCTATAACAACAATGGCAACTGCAATAAAAAAATAGCTAGGCACTGTGGCGGGTGCCTATAGTCCCAGCTACTTGGGAGGCTGAGGCAAGAGAATCACTTAAGCCCAAGAGTTTGAGGTTGCTGTGAGCTATGATGCCACAGCATTCTACCAAGGGTGACATAGTGAGACTCTGTCTCAAAAAAAAAAAAAAAATCTGGTATATTACAATGAAATTTTCTTTAAATAAATGTAAATTTTAGAAACAGATACAAATACCACTTATAAGATATTACTTCTCTTTATGAACCTAAAAAATACTTGTCCTTTTAAATATTTGTGATTTCTAAGTAAATGGTCAACCCAAATTCTATGGAAAAAGAAGACACGCAGATACTCTCTCACTATTTTGCAAATGAAAAACACCAAGGGCTAATTCAAGCATGTGGCTCATAGTCCTGATGTGCCAAGGAAATACTATGAAGTCACTAAACATAATAATCTTCCCAAACAGCATGGAGAGTGAGAGATCCCAAGCATATGTAGCTACACATGCGTACGCGTCTAAGGTAAAAGACTGGAAGGAAGTCCAGCAAAATACTAATACAGATTCTCTTTGGGTGACATAATTATGGACGTTTTTCCTTCTTTATGCTTTTCTATATTTTCCCAGTTTCCTAAAATGGATATGTATTATTTTTATAATCATAAAAAGGTAGCACTTAAGAATAAAGAAGTTTTAAAATACCATGCAATTGGGCTAAGAAACTGACATCTCCAACAATTTTATCCTACTATGTTATCTACGTCTCCAGATTTAGAGCACCATGCTAACAGAAGCCAAAGATGAAATTCCTGCATGAGTCAATCACTTAGGACTGATACTCTTCAAGCAGTTTAAAGGCAGGGATTATTTTAGCCTTCTTCCAGTTTTTCTTTCTTTCTTTTTTTTTTTTAGAGACAGAGTCTCATTTTGTTGCCCCTAGTAGAGTGCTGTGGCATCACAGCAACCTCTAGCTCTTGGGCCTAGGCGATTCTCTTGCCTCAGCCTCCCAAGTAGCTGGGACTACAGGCGCCCGCCACAGTGCCCAGCTATTTTTTTGTTGCAGTTTGGCCAGGGCTGAGTTTGAATCCACCACCCTCGGTACATGGGGCTGGCGTCCTACTCACTGAGCTACAGGTGCCACCCTTTCCCCCAGTTTTTTAACTGGAGTCCATAATCACAAAGTGATCCAGATAGAAATTAATCACTAATATTGAACTAATTTAAAGCAGGAGATACAAGTTACAGGATGTACACAGAAATCTAGGAAATAAGAGGAAAGTAAAACAATGTTATGTCTCATATATTATGGCAACTGGGCTGTACTACAGAACAGGCTTACACATTTCCCATCAGTGTTTCCTGATTTAACCACTGTGACGTGTAACTATTGTGTATTCCTTTTAACATTAGAAAAGATTTTATTGGGTGGCACCTGTGGCTCAGTGAGTAGGGTGCCGGCCCCATATACTGAGGGTGGCGGGTTCCAACCCAGCCCTGGCCAAACTGCAATTAAAAAAGAAAAAAAAAAAGAAAAGATTTTATTAAACAAGTGTTAAAACGGTATATTATAATAACAGCATTATAAATAAAATATATCAACATGTATTAATATAAAATAGGAAATGTGGCTTATCCCTTGTTTTCTAAGGTTTTTTTTTAGTAATAGCCACTTATTTCTTTATGAAAGCAAGCTATCTAAATACACAAAATGCACAAGACATTTAATAATAGAAGTTGGTTGTTTTAGGAGGTGGAAAGGAGAAAGCAAAAAGTATTTAGATCCAATACCTCGCACCAACAAAGTACAAGTCACAGGATGGATAGTGGTAAGAGAAATCTCTCCCGAACTTTGGTATTCTGGTTTTGTAGTAAAAACCTGATTGTGAATGAAATTCAATGTATCTATCATTATGTAAGAAGACAATCTGAAAACAAAACAAGAAATTAATTTGTTTAGGTTTCTAGGTCTATTTCATCATCACCAAAACTAGCAAAGCAAGAAAAACTCTGATTTCTGTCACCCTCACTTTCTCCCAACACACGTTTTGCACTGCGATTAAGAATCAAAACTGTCCTTGAGTTCCCTACCTAACACCTCCTTGTATCCTGACAGCTTTTCTCCAAACCTTATCTTCTAACTTGAAGACTTAAAACAAACCTTTCATTTACCTGGCACCAACATTTCACAACATAAAGCTATATAGTAACCTCAAAGAGAAACTTCCTATTTCACTTAGGAACACATTTTAATAACCCTATGTTAGGCTCAGCGCCTGTAGCTCAATAGCTAAGGCGTCAGCCACATACATCAGAGCTGGCAGGTTCAAATCCAGCCCGGGCCTGCCAAACAACAATGACAACTACAACCAAAAAACAGCCAGGCACTGTGGTGAGTGCCTGTAGTCCCAGCTACTTGGGAGGCTGAGGAAAGACAATTGGTTAAGCCTCAGAGCTGTCAGTTGCTATGAGCTGTAATGCCATGGCACTCTACCCAAGGCAACAGCTTGAGACTCTGTTTCAAAAGAAAAAAATAAATTAATAATCCCACATTATACAGGGTTTGATAAAACTTATATAAATTTAACTTTAAGCCAGGCACAGTAGCACATGCTTGTAGTCCCAGCTACTCAGAAGCCTGATGTGAGAGGATTCTCACATCACTTGAGCCCAGGAGTTTGAGAACAGCCTGGGCAACATACTCAGTCCCCACCTCTATGAATATGTGAACACATAAATTTAACTTTAATGCACTGTAAAAGTATCTTTAAAATCTACAGATGATACATAAAGGCAAATTTATCAATATTTAGGGATAATACACTCTAAAATTACATGTCCCCAAACACATGATAAATGACTAATATAGGCAAAAGGATAAACTGTAATCTATGCTTTCCAAACTGGAGATAGCATATAAAGGCATGTTATCTAAGAAAATTCAATTCTCCTTTAAAATATACAACATTACTAAAAATTTTCCAGATTAAACTGAATAAGGACTTAACCAACAATTTTACTATTGAAAACAGTCATATAAGCAGCGCCCGTGGCTCAGAGAGTTAGGTGCCAGTGCCAGCCCCATGAATCGAGGGTGGTAGGTTCGAATCTAGCCCCTACCAAACTGCACCAAAAAAAAAACAGCCAGGCACTGGAGTCGGTGGCGGGCGCCTGTAGTCCCAGTTACTTGGGAGGCTGAGGCAAGAGAATTGCCTAAGCCCAAGACCTGGAGGTTGCTGTGAGCTATGACAGCACGGCGCTCTACCAAGGGTAACAAAGTGAGACTCTATCTCTAAAAAAAAAGTCATAAAAGTTGAAAAATGAACTAATGACACAAAAAAAGAAACGTATATATTTTAGCTATACTTTGAACTGTTTCAAAATATGCCACAACCCTTAGCAGGATTAAGACAACAGAACAGGCCAAGTGCAGTGGGTCATGGCGGTAATTCTAACACTGAGAAGCTGAGGTGGGAGGATGGACTGAGGCCAAAAATTTGAAAGCAGCCTAGGTATCATAGTAAAAATGAAGGAAGGGAGGGAGGGACGGAGGGAGATCTGGAGATGAGCTGGGCATTATGGCTCATGCCTATAGTCCCAGCCACTTGGGAAATTGAGACAGGAGGATCACTGAAGCCAAGAAGTTAGAGGACAAATGCAGTGAGCTATTATGATGCCATTGCATTACAACATGGGCAACAGAGTGAGACTATCTGTCTCAAAAAACAAACAACAAAAAATTAAATGTACAATATTGCTAGTTTACCTTTCAGATATAAATAAGAAAATGAAAGCAACATGGCAAATAAATGTAGGTTAAATACAATAATCAGAATCACAAATGTAAAGTATAAGACAGCCTCAAAAGGATAACTGCTGCCAATTCTTGAAAAATAAATAAAGTTTGATATATGATATGGAAAACTAAATTTCAGATTAGACTTGCCAAAAGCTATCTCTATCATTGTTATTTTTTAAAGATACTACATAGCTTATATATACCAAACTAAAAATATTTTAATAGAAAATGGTGGGTCATATTTTACTACACAGCCATTTTTAATTTAACACTGGGAAAAATCATAAAAATGCTTATAAATATAAATTTCACTCATTCTTAGGTGTACTCAGTACAAACCAACACTATAGAACATACCTTTGAGTAGTCATCAGACAGAATTTCAAAGGTAACAACTGAAAAACAAGAAATAGTAGCAAAAATTTGAATATTAATGTTTTTAATAAAAATGTAAGCAATGCAAAGATTCTAATTCAAACTATACGCAATGCCAATTTTTCTTTTCTGCCCTTATGTGAAATAAGGACAAAGTTGCTGGAATCCAAAAGTAGAGTTTTTATGAGTTTGCACTTCTAAGTTTTATAATCTTGTAAATAAGCTCATGTAATTTTTGCTAAAATGTAGAGATACAATAGGTTCATAATCTTCCTTATTGTAGACACAAAATGTGAACATCCATTTAGGTATCAGCATTAACTAAACCTTACTGACCCAGGCTGGCTACACTAATGCTCATGGTTGGGTCTCCGTGTTTCCCAGAAGGAAAAAAAAAAAAGACTCACCATTTCTGTGAAAAATACTTAATATTTCACAATTTTAATACTGCAATTACCAATGTAAAGGACACTTGAATGCTTATTAATTAAAAATTTCCCAGTTACTTTAAAAAAATAAAATAAAATCACCATATTATTTCCAAAACACCAAATGAAAACTTAAAAGCTTCACAATTTCTCAACACACATCAACCAGATTTCTCAAAAAACCAAAGCAAATTCACAAAATATAAAGAATTTCTAAGGTTTTTTTTGTGTGTGTTTTTACCTAAACAATTCTATTACGAGATATAAGCTACTCAAATGTTAACTGGTTGTAAACAAAGGGAAGGAACACGGCAGAAGTCAGGTTTGTTGGTGGAGGAGAGACAGTACTAAAGGCTCTCAGAATCCAGGGTTTTCATATTACTCCATGGTTCAATTTCTCACGGGTCACTTTCCATTCAAGGATTCTATAGACCAAATAAGATAGGATTCTTTTAGCTATCACCAAGAGTCTTCTCTCAGCCAAGGCGTCCGGTGGAAACCGAACTTATTTTTCAGATCCCTCTGGAGCAGTGGTTCTCAACCTTCCTAATGCCACGACCCTTTAATACAGTTCTTGTAGGTCTTGACCCACAGGTTGAGAACCGCTGCTCTGGAGGATCGAAAAGTCTCTTCCACATCGCATCGCCAAGCTCCCTGTTGTCAGTCCTCTTCCCATGGTATTCTTTCTCTAAACATTTTCTTATCTTCCAATCAAGATCATTGCAATGACCAAAAAATTTCAGAATGTTGTGCCGATTCTCGGCCACACTGGGAGCGCTAAAGCTGTCCACTGCGGAGACATCCCCACCAACAGGTGGAGGCCCATGAGGCCTGAACCTGGCAGCTGCACAGGCGGCGGACGCCCAGGCACCCTCTACGGCCAGCCTGCCCCTAAGTTTCTAAGTTTTGCCCCTATTTTTCTGAGATGTTCAAAACAAAATAATTTTAAAGATTTTCAAACATTGGCTCAGCACTTGTAGCACAGTGGCTAAGGCGCCAGTCACATAACACCACGCCTAGTGGGTTTAAACCCAGCCTGGGCCAACTAAACAATGACAACTGCAACAAAAAAATAACCAGGCATTGTGGCGGGTGCCTATAGTCACAGTTACATGGGAGGCTGAGGCAAGACAATCACTTATGCCCAAGGGTTTGAGGTTGCTGTGAATTGTGATGCCATGGCACTCTACCCAGGGCGACAGTGTGAGACTCTGTCTCAAAAAAAACATTAACAGTAACTTTTTTTACCCATTCATAGTTTCCTTACTAAACAAAGAGAGAAAACAGCAATTACTAGTGGCACAGAGAATTTCTACTGTTTTCAAAAAACAAAGAATGAAATAAATTAGGAGAATATGCATGTAATTTCACAGAACACATATTCCACTAACTTGTTTCCCCTCAATCCCAAATACTAGGCCAACTGATAAAAGTACTTCAACTTTCTCATTTTAACCTGCCCTCAGTGGCAGTCAGAATTCTAAGAATGATGCCAGTGACCCTGACCTTCGTATACCCAAGCTCCTGAGATGTGGGTGGAACCTGTGAATTGATGAGACATGGCTCCCATGATTATATCACATGATATGGCAAAAGGGAGATTTATCATCACATGAGTCCTCTGAGAGCAGTTTTCTCTAGCTGACAGCAGAAAGGGGGTCAGAGTTCCAAGCACAAGACAGATGAGATGAGAAATGCATGTAGCCTCCAGAGCTAAGAGTGGCCCCCAGCTATAGCAGGAAATAGGATGCCAGTCCTCCAACCACAACAAACCAAATGCTGTCAACAACCTGAGTGTGGAAGTAGATTCTTGCTCAGTATCTCAATGGGGCCCATACCCTGACTTTACCTCTATGCAGAGCTCCTGCATGGACTCAACATCTACAGAACTGTGAGCTACTATGTGGACATTTTAAGCCACCATGATTGTAGCACAGTAACTTGTTTCACAACAATAGAAAACTAATTCCTATTTTAAAACCAGAAAAGAAGACAAATATAAAAGCTATTTCCATGAATGCAGATTTAGCCTCTTACCTTCTGAATCTAAACACCTTTCAAACTTCAAGGATAATTGATAGGTATCATAACATCGGACACGAGGTTTATATGTTCCTATAAAAAAAAGTATATATAAGATATTCATATATGATATAAGACATAAAGACATACTTTTCATAGTCAAGAACCTGCAAATATGTTGAGTGTACTTTCTGTTGAGACTGCCAGAATTACAACCAAATCAAAGCAAACGAATTTAAAGTGGCCCCTCCTAAATATCCCAGAAGGAAAATGAAAAAAGTTAAATAAGCAAGTCATAGAAAATACAAGCAACTAATAAACTTCACAAATAATCTAATAAAAGTAGATTAAAACAATAAAACAGTTTCTGACAGAATGGCAAAGATGAAAAAGATGGTTAATATCTGTGTTGCTGGGCAGCAACTGGGGCTCAGTAGGTAGGGCACCGGCCCCATATGCCAAGGGTGACGGGTTCAAACTTGGCTCTGGCCGAACTGCAACAAAAAATAGCCGGGGCATTCTGGTGCCTGTAGTTCTAGCTACCAGGGAAGCTGAGGCAAGAGAACTGCCTAAGCCGAGGAGTTGGAGGTTGCTGTGAGCTGTGATGCCACAGCGCTCTACCAGGGGCAATAAAGTGAGACTCTGTCTCAAAAAAAAAAACACAAAAAAACACAATAGGAACTGGCCTATATTAATGAAGGTGTTTTCAAAGTGCCTGGGAAAGTCATATAGACACATACCATTAAACCAGCCAAAAAAAAAATGCATGGAGGCTGGGTGCAGGGGTTCACGCCTGTAATCCCAGCACTCTGGGAAGCCGGTGCAGGTGGATTGCTTTAGCTCGCAAGTTCGAAACTAGCCCCAGCAAGAGCAAGACCCCATCACTAAAAAATAGTCAGGCATTGTGGTGGGTGCCTATAATCTCATCTATTCGGGAGGCTGAGGCAAGAGAATTACTTGAGCCCTAGAGTTTAAGGTTGCTCTGAGCGATGACATCACGGCACTCTATTGAGGGTAACAAAGTGACACTCTCTCTCTCAAAAAAAAAAAAAATGTGCATAGACAACACGCAGGACATATGAAACAAAATCACAACAAAAAATGGTTGAGTGATACTATGCAGCATTTTAGTACATTAAAAGTCTCTGTATTTCCTGATTTTTATAATGATTAATACTGTTAATGCAAAATCTTGGTAATATAAAAAATATTAGTACATTATAAAGAAAATCACGTTAAAAGTAGTAAGCTTTCCTGGCACTGTTGGTGAAAGTGTAAATGATATGACCACTTTGGGAAAAGGTCTGGTTTCGAACTTGTGAGCTAAAGCAATCCACCACTATAAAACTAAACATTCACAGACGCTATGACTTAGAAATTCTATTCCTAGGTATTTATTTACCAAAGACAAATGAAAGTACATATCCACAAAACAAACTTGCACAAGATGTTCATACTGCTTCATTAATAAAAGTCAATATATGAAAAGAGCCCAGGTGTCCACCAAACAGAGAATGGATAAGCCGTGGAATATTCACAGAATGAAATACTATTTGTTAATTAGAAAAGAACAAGCTACTGATGCCTGTAATAACATGTATGAATCTCAAATATAAAAATCCCAAGTAAAGTCTCACATAGAAAGAACACAAAGTACATGACTGCATTAATATTATATCTAGTTCTAAAACAGGCTAAATTTGTTTGTGGTGAAAAAAGTCAGAGCAGTGGTTGGTTCTGAAAGGGGGGCAGCAGGGACTGCCTTCCAGGGGCATGGGGAATTTTCCACAGGAAAGGAACGCTCTGTGTCTTGACAGGGTTTTGAGTTACACAGAAGTGTGTGTTTGTCAAAACTCAACAAATGATAAACTTAAGATCTACACATTTTGGCCGGGCTTGGTGGCTCATGCCTGTAATCCTAGCACAGTGGGAGGCCAAGGTGGGTGGATCACTTGAGCTCACGAGTTCAAGACCAGCCTGAGCAAGAGCAATACCTTGTCTCTACTAAAAACAGAAAATCTAGCCAACTGTGATGGTGCATACCTACAGTCCTAGCTACTTGGAAGGCCGAAGCAAGAGGACTGCTTGAGCTGAGGAGTTTGACGTTGCTGTGAGCTATGACTCCATCGCACTCTAGTCTGGGGCTACAGGTGAGACTGTCACAAAAAAAAAAAAAGCCTACACATTTCCTTGTATATAAACTTTACCTAAAAAAGAATCCATAAATAAATATAGACCAAGATTTAACTCTAGTTGATATATCTGCTGAGGTACATAGGGATCAAATACAGTGATCTCTGCAGCTTGCTCTGATATGCATCAGACTGATGCATGGATAGAGAGACAGATGTGATACACCAAATACTGCCAACTATTTACTGCAGAATTTAGGTTAGTGGACAAATAGGTGTTTGCTGAGCAATTTTTTCAATTGTACAATAAAATGGTAGAGTAAAAAAGTGACATTTCTCACCACAGCAGTTCCTTCTATGAAATGTATACAAATCATAACAAAGAGATGCTTACCAGTCGCTAAAATATACTGTCCATCTTTTGACACTTTAATAGTGGTGCACACAGTAGGCATTTCAAAATCCTGAATAAGTTCAATTCTCCTACGGATATCTAGAAAGAAAGAAAAACAATAACTAGTTTAATTGACATGTGCTTATCCTCTGTCACAGACAAAGCATCCTGAGCAGTCACAAAAACTATGAACAGTAAGATACGCCCCAAATGCTTCTGGTACAGCCCACCCTTAAATAGCAAAAGTTTTTTTCTTAGCTCAGATATTATTTTCCTAAGCTAAATATTTTATTTTTACTTTCCTAAAAATATCAATATAAAAACAAATCTCCAGAACAGTATAAGAAATGTTCAGTTTTAAGAAGGAAAGGAGAAAGAAGGAACAGAATAAACATTAAGCCATTACTACTATGCAATCATGGCACAGACAATAATCTTATAATTTTTTTTCTCCTAAATAATAATAAGTTTAAGCCTCCAAAATCTTAAGTTTCTATACGAAATTGGTACCAAGGGTGGCACCTGTGGCTCAGTGAGTAGTGTGCCGGCCCCATATACCGAGGGTGGCAGGTTCAAACCCAGCCCCAGACAAACTGCAACAAAAAAATAGCTGGGAGTTGGGGTGGACGCCTATAGTCCCAGCTACTTGGGAGGCTGAGGCAAGAGAATCACCTAAGCCCAAGAGCTGGAGGTTGCTGTGAGCTGTGACACCACGGCACTCTATCCAGGCCAACAAAGAAACTCTGTCTCTAAAAACAAAATAAAATAAAATAAAAAGAGAATCGCCTAAGCCCAAGAGCTAGAGGTTACTGTGAGCTGTGATGTCACGGCACTCAACCAAGGGCAACAAAGTGAGACTGTGTCTCTAAAAAAAAAAAGAAAAAAGAAATTGGTACCAAGCTGGCTTTGCTCCCGCTGGCATCCCTGACCTGCAGTCGAGAGGATCCAGGCTCGAGGAAGACTCAGTGTAATCCTCTGGGCAGGACATTGGACCTGCTTATTACTACAGGAGATTCTTGCTGGTTTCTATCATTAAAATGTGCCTACTGCAAAAACTATTTATCACTCAATGGAACATTACTGCCTCATTTACTGAAGCCAAATAGATGAGTCAAACTTAAGTACAAGTGGCCCACTCAATTTGAAAGACCTAAGTTCTTGGGGCAGCACCTCTGGCTCACTGGGTAAGGTACTGGCCCCACATACTGAGGGTGGCAGGTTCGTACCC